GTTAGGTTGAATCTACACTGTCTTATAATACAGGTTGAACTGAATTGAAGACCCATATAATGCCATTTGAACTGTGTTCCAGACTGCATTACATGGCAGTGTAGCTCCAGCCTTAGAATGCTGTTTTCATTTCTGTTGGTGCAGATTATTTCAAAATTTTATTTTTCACACAATAGCAGCAGGACTTGTCAAGATTTATTCAGCAACGGAGGAAAAGTAGAGTGAAAATTAAAACACGGCAGGACACAAAACAATGAAAAGGCCTCAGTCTACCTAATTTGACCTTCAATTTTCTTCAGCAGGACCATCACGAATAAGGAAAAATCATGAATAAAAACATATATTTTTTATTTGAGGGAGCATCTTGAACTGGGTAATCTGAGTCCACACTGCCATATAAGCCACTTCAAAGCAGATAACGTGGGATTTTTTTTACAGCTGTGAGGAATCATAGAATCATAGAGTTGGAAGAGACCTCGTGGGCCATCCAGTCCAACCCCCTGCCAAGAAGCAGGATAGTCGTGTTCAAAGCACCCCCAACAGATGGCCATCCAGTCTCTGTTTAAAAGCCTCCATAGAAGGAGCCTCTGCCATACTTCGGGGCAGAGAGTTCCCCTGTTGAACAGCTCTCACAGTCAGGAAGTTCTTCCTAATGTTCAGGTGGAATCTTCTTTCCTGTACTTTGAAGTCATTGCTCCACGTCCAAGTCTCCAGGGCAGCAGACAAAAAGCTGGCTCCCTCCTCCCTATGACTTCCCTTTACATATTTATACATGGTTATAGTCTGCATGATAGCCTAAGTCCATCTGTGAAGGGCCTAAGTGCTTCTGTGATGTTTTTATGCAGAAACCCTGCCTTTATGTTTGGCCATTCTCCCTCCAGTCTGCTCTGGTGATTCAATTGTTGAATCAAGTGGCATGCTTTGCAAGCGTGGAGCTGTTGTTATTTCATTTTTTTGCACATCAAAATGTTGTCAAAAAGATTGCATTATGAAGTCCCATTGAAACAAAAAGTTGTTTGTGTACACACAAGAAAATGGAAACAGGGCTGCAAGACAACATTTTATTTTTTATTGGAATCAAATCTTTTTTGTTAGTTTATGGTACTGAAATTAGTGTGTTTCTTACAATCGATGGCATCTTAGAAGCAAAGAAATATAGTAATCAAATCTGCAAAAGTTAAACCTTCAAATGTGCAGGGGAGAATATAGACACGAAGTGTAATTTCTAAATAAAGTAGAGGTAGAAGCTTATAAAAATAAAAACAGTGACAAAAAAAGATAATGGAAAGTCATCTTTTTTCCTTATTGTAGTTTTCGTTATCCTTCCCAGTAGTTTAGAGAGATATGTACATTTTGTGGTAAGTTTTATATTTATTTGGCTTTCATAGTAAAGGTAAAGGTAAGGCTTTCATAGCTGGAAGAAAGAAGTCAAAACATTAAAAAAAATCACAAAATAGCTTATGTTGTGTTTACTTAAGTACAACATATGCTTAAGTTTAAAGAAGTTAGTGTAGATCCACTCCCTGTGGCCACAACTGGTTGAATGCATCATGGTTAAATAACAAGCTTGTTTCCTCCTTTCTTTTAGGAACATCTGAATTTAATGTGGTAATTGTTCTGACAAGCTGAGAAATATGAACACATGCTTCAGAACAAGCCAGGATTTTAAACCAACTTCAAGTTATGTTGTAATATCCTGGCTTGTTCCAGAGCTGATGAAACTTCATTTCTCTGTTTGGATGCAGCAAAATGTGATAGTGATCTTTTGGCTTGATACACTTTTACAAAATTAGAAGAGTTGGGCTATATGTAACTGAACTGGGCTTGTATATCCATGCCTCAGAATAGGACTGTAAAGAGAACAATGCAGTTACTAACTTGTGCCACAGGGTGGGGGCAAAGCTTTATGTCTTTCATGTTGGAGAAAGTGAATGAAGCCCTGCGCTTCCTGCAAGTTGGAGAGGTCAGTGAACTCAGTTACTTCCATTCTAGAATCTTGCAGGGTTAGGTTGGGTTTTTTTTTTGCTAGTTTGACAATATTTGCTTTGTGAGCATAAACCCAAAGTGTCCTTATAGCACTTATCTATAAGTGTCTCTCCGGGGAAATAGAGTGGTCTATAAATAAAGTATTACTACTACTACTACTACTACTACTACTACTATTTTCTATTCTGTGTATGGTGCTTAGGAAACAGTGCAGGTTATGTTGTGAATGACCAAGGGTGTTATGTGTCTGATCTGTTATTAAGCAAGCAAATGGCAATTTGAGATATATGGTTAAGGAACTTGGAGACTAAGAGGGGAAGAAGAAAGCATCAGATTGGTCAGGGCCATAGCCAGAAAAAAATTTCAGGAGGGGTTGAAAATTTCGGGGGGGGGGGGGTTTGACAATTTCATGGGGGGGGTTGAAACCTGCCTCCTAGCTCACGCTGAAGCAAAGAGCATAGCAGGGGGCAGAGCATCCTTCAATAGCCTGCAGCTCCGCCCCTGTCAACCACCTCCACCAAGTCTGGTCTCCTTAATGAGAGCACTCAACACACACACACCCAACTTGATTGCTTCACTACATCAGCTATTGCTGCAAGTAATGACAGTGTGAATAAATTGTCAATATTTGCTTGAGATAGTGCTTGCAGTTCTGGAGGGACTCTTAATTTTTGCGTCTCATAGACTTAGCATGGGGATTTGGTTAACCAGTTAAAATTCATGAGTAAACCAGTTTTTTTAACCTGAAAATTTGGGGGGGGGGTTGAACCCCTAAAACCCTTCCCCCTGGCTACAGGCCTGGGATTGGTTGCTGATAAAATACTATATGACACAAGAAAAAATAAAACTGATAGTAGATTTGTAAGGAGAACGGAAAAAATCAGTGTCCTCCAGACGAAGTTAGAAGAGGAGAAAGCAGTATATTACCAGAAAGGGAAAAACAAAGATAACCACAGTGGAGAAGATTGGAAGCCGAATTTTCCCCCCCCCCCCACACACACACCTTTATCCCTTGCCTAATCCTACCTAGACCTTAGATGGAACTATTTTCTCTCCCCCCCTACCTCTTTCCCCCTTTCTTTTCTCTTTCTTCTTCTTTCTTTTCTCATTTTGTTTGTAACTCTAGCTTTTATCTTTCTTTTTTCTATCACCTATAGCGCAGGGCACCCCCAGTTTATTAACTTTCCATACCCAGACACCCCAAGTAGCTCTCTCTTTAAAAAATACATACTTGTAAATAGTAGCTCTCTTAATAAAAAATATTTGGAAAAAAAGAAACTTGGAGACTAGGGAAGTGCTGCTCAGCCAAGGTAAAACAAGCGGGGATGATCACAGGGAGTTTGGTAGCATATCTGCATTTTTGTTCTTGGCTTGTAACAGTCCACTGGCCTGAAGCAATCAAAGCCTGCCTCTTTGCCCAAAATCACACCAACCTATGGGTTTGCTAGATACCAAGAAGCCACCAGGAAATGTGATTCTTCTTTACCATCAGATGCTGCATAGACCTTTTTTTGGCAGAAAGCATGGCTATTAGAGAATGCGTTGGACATCTGGTCACTTCTGGTTTTAGCAACAGATGTGCCTTGCAGTGGACCTGCAGGAATTGACCCCAGGACCCACCAAATTTGACCACACTTGTGGGCTGAAGAACTCTGCATCTTGGGAGCACCATTCCTATGGATTTTTCACACCACCATTTCTGTTCCCTCTTTCTCTTGCACACACACACATACACAGAGTCACTCACTTGGTTCCCCCTTGAAGCTTTGAAGCAGAGCCTGCAAGATAATTGATAATAGCAATTATTCCTTCACAGTCTGGCATGCAAGCAATTAGCGGCAGGGTGTTTGACCAAGCGTGGCACGTGCTGGGATCTCCGTTTCTTCACTGCCCAAGCCCATCCTCTTGTGTAGTGATGGCTTCAAGCAAAAGAAATTGGTATGTTGACATTTACGCCACCAGTCCTGCTTAGGTGGGCATGATTATGGCAAGATCAACAAACTGACATTTTGAAAAATGCTGGTCCCGCCACATGGTTTTAGGCAAAACAGTTTCAGGTGTATTTAAAGCTCTTGGGTTCCCCTCATGTCTCCAATATTGCATAACCGTTGACCCAGTCTCAATCTTACACACCACAGATGGCCATGAAATGGTTATTACCTGCTTATAGTCCCCCTTTTCTGGTCTTTTTTTCCTTCCCAAGAAGAAACTATAGAAGCATCTCTAGAAATGGATAAGGAAGAAATACCAGATTTTAGCTGGCATCTTGTTAGGCTATTACAATGCAGTCATACCTGCAGATTATGCAATGGGGTGTAAACTGTATGGCATTCTAGATTTCACTGGACTGCAAGTCCTATCAGCTGAAAGGATGGTGGAAGTAGTAGTTTAACACAGCCTGGAAGGCTGAAGAGATCCTGTCCCTCCCTTGCTGTTGTGTGCCTTCAAACCATTTCCAAGTTATAAAGACCCTTGGAGTTACTTGGCAAAATTTGTTTAGAGTAGTGTTTCCCAACCTTTGGGCCTCCAGGTGCTTTGGGCTTCAAGAAATCCCAGCCAGCTTACCAGCTGTTAGGTCCAAAAAACCTGGAGGCCCAAAGGTTGGGAACAACTGGTTAGAGCAATAGTTCTTAACCCATGGGTCCCCAGGTGTTTTGGCCTACAACTCTCAGAAATCCCAGCCAGTTTACCAGCTGTTAGGCTGGTAAACTAGGGACCCACAGGTTGAGAACCACTGGGTTAGAGGGAGTTTGTCTTTGTCTTCTGATGCTGAGAGAATGTGACTCAACCAACTAAATATCTCAGGATTGCATAGTAAGATAAATGAGTAGTGGGAAAGGGTCTCAGGAGTTGACCTCATTCCTTTTCCCTGCCTTGGTTCGGCATAATCTTGAGCCACAAGAAAAACTGTATTTAAGAGCCATTCCCTATCTGTCAACTTCAGGCCGATTCCTTGGTGCCGCCCTATATACACCATTTACCCAGTCTCCCAAAAAAATCTTGAGCCATCCTAGTTGAAGAAAGAAACCTTTATTAATAATCTTAATAATAATAGTAATAATAATCATCAATAAATAATAATAATACTGTTTATTTGAATGTTCACACCTTAGAAGCATACAGAATGGGGCGGGTGGCTGATGCTCCCAGGGTGGGAGAAACGGCAGCAAATGGGAGGAGGGGCTTTATACAAGGGGGGCAGGAGTGGTAAAGGGTGGGGCTATGTACAACGGGAATAGAAAAGGAGGATCATCTGGTTGCTGGCGTGTCAGGAGCTTTAATGCTGAATAGAAAGTGAGGTTTCATGAGATGACTAAGCCCAGGTGGGGTCAGGGATGGGCTGGCAGTGGGGGTAGGGTGAGGAAGGGATGCCCTGAGTCCATCTGGCTCCAGGGTCGTATATGATGGAGGAAGGCAGGCTGTAAGGCATGCAGTCCTCCCACCAAGGGCTGTGGCAGGGAGGGAAATGGAGGAATAGGGGATTCCCCCATTTCAGAGCAGCCTCTGAGGCTCGCTAAAATGTTTGCTCCATTCGTTCAGCAAAACAGTTCTTATTTCATCATGACCCTGGTTCCCCCTGCCTCAGCTTCTGCCACTGCTGCCACCAAAGTGGGGGTGCTGCAATGTTCTGTCTCTCACTTGGCCCTGCAGTCCTTTAGGAATATGCATATACCCCAGGTACCTCCTGCTTCTCTTCCTTTTCCACTTACCACTAGCACAGTTAAGGGGTGTGCGGTACTTTCTGGCCCTGTCTTTGTGGGGCCTTACAGCTCAGGAGGCAGGGGTTATCTCAGGTAATCTCAGCTCTCAGGTGAGCCACAAAGAGATCAGCCAGGCCTGCTGTGTGGATGGTAGAGGAATGAGGAATGTGAATGGGGGCTGGGGAGAGTGGTGATAGGGATCCTGACCCCAAAGGGGCTGGTGGGAGCGGGGATCCTCAGGGGGAGGGGAAAGTGCAATCTCTTCAAAGAAAACCCCCTCTAAAACCCGGGATTCCCACCCACTGGGATAAGCTAGCTGTACCCCCAAAGCCCCTGCCCTGGCTTGGCCTGGGAATCCCCAAGACCAACTTGACAAATGGATGAACCAGCAAAGCACAAAAAGCAGGCGAAGGGTCTGGGAAGCAAAAAGCAGGATCGCTAGCCCTGCCGGCGCGCTCGTGGCGTTAGTCTGCGGTGGGGGCTGGCCGCAGTTCTTCTCCAGGGGGGTTGAAAGGAAGACGTAGTGGCCTCGGGGCCTCCAGAGTCCAGTCCATGTGTCAGAGTGCCTGTCCCTCCTGGCTCCATAGTCTGCCGCTGAAGAGGAGGGGGCAAGGGAGCAGGGCACGGGTCTCCCGGGCATGGACAGCTTTGTAGAGTCTGTGGGCAGCTGCCGTCCTCTCTGTCCGGTGGGTCGGTCGGTTGCTGCGCTCCGGTTGGCCTTTCGCTTTGGGGGGGCGCATGTGTGGACAGAAGGGGGCTTTCACTCGGTCGCTTGGCTTGTATAGTTTTGTAATTGTTTTGTTGCTTTGCTTTAAAAAAATTTGTGCCCTTCCTGGTCCCAGAAGGAAACAGCTGAAGGTTTCACTATAACAGAAAACAAAAGGCAGAACGTTCTATGGAGAAACCTGCAGGCACTTGCCTGGGGGTGGGATAGGGTGGGTTGGGGGTCAGGGGTGTGCGGAAAGAGTGGGGCAGCGGGAGGTGTGACAGAAGGCCTTTCTGGCCCCTGGATGGTTGTTGGCCTAAAATTTTGAACTGGGAAGTGAGGACAGTGGCACCCCCCAACTTCCTTGACCATTGCCCATTCCCTCTGCCCATCCTGCTCCTGTCTCCACAAATGCCTTCCTCTCCCATCCCTTTCAGTATAGATCTGCAAGTTGGTTCTGTACAGCACATGGAGAAAAGAGACTGTTGCCCACTTCCTGGCTACCCTTAGTGGTCCCACATTGATGAGGGAGCTAGGATCATTCAGCCCCTCTGGGGCTGCTCCCAGCCAGCTCCTTCATATCCCCAGGCAATTTGGTAAGAGAGAGAGGAGTGTGGAGCCGGGAGGGTCCCAGAAGGGGCCTGTTTTAGTCCCTGCCAACTTGGCAGATGGCTCGCTGCTGCCATTGGGTCTTCAGTTTCCTTCCCTTCTTACTGTACATTCTTGGAAGACACTGAAGTGAGAAATGTTCTCCAGTCCCTGCTCAAGTCAATTCAGTGGCACAGCCCTGTCCTCTAGATAGCTTGGTTGTGGTGGCCGAGTGAGGAAGGATGGAAAATACTTCCTGCAGTCATTTGGAGGCTGAATATATCTAAGCATAGCGGTAATGGGTTAGGATTTGAGAGCATAGGCTTGTTAGTATTCCAGGAAAGTCTTGGGACCTGCCCATCTAGAGTTGCAGGCAAGGATATCCCACATGGGCAGTTTACATCTGATTGGGATGAAATCCTGAGTTTTCTTAATGGTATCCTCTCCCTTGAGGTTCTCCCTTAGTCATGTGAGACCTGAACACCCATGGGACAAAGGGGAATGCCTTTATGGGCCTACCCAAAGTGAATGAGGTGCCCCAGAACTGGGAGCCTGGGAACTGGAAACCCATAAGAGTTGGGAAGCTGAGCGGCCTCTGAGAAAAACAGGAGGCTCTCCTTGAGGTTCTGCTTGCTGGTGGTTTGTTTGTTTGCTTTTGCCTGATGAAATTAGGCACCAGTCCCAAATTCCAAGGCTGGTGGCTTTGCACAATGGAAACATACTTGGCTGTACACCATCAGAGACATGTGGGATGTGAGACATGAGAGGTGGTTTGAGGTAAAGAAATAAGGTGGGTTTAGGCAGCTCAGGGCCAACAGTGTGGGGCAGGGGCCCAGGTCCATTTGATTTTGATTTGGTTTCTAAGGAGAAGTCAGTGTGACTATTGTGAGGAGGGGCTGGGTCTGTCTTGCTAGTAGGGAGTGAAGCGGCTGTACCCTCCTCGGTATAGACTAGCCTGCAACATCAAAGACGGAGAAAAAGCCAATCAGTATAAAGGAGAGGCACAGCCCATCCCTGCCCCATTACTTCAGCCCTTGTGGTGGTCTCTCCAGATCACCCAGGCTAGCAGAGGCCTTGCTTTATGGCAGTGACCAGCAGTGGTGGGTGGTCACAACTTGAAGCATGCAATGCTGCTTTGGGCTTGGGCTCGCAAGATGTCTGGATAGAGCTGATTTAAAAGTGTTTAAAGAACAGGGCATTTGAAGCAAGTATCATTCCAGGATGAAAGTTGGCTCTGACTGAAATTTCACTTCTCCATGCCCATATCTGGCCCAGAATCCTCCATATGACCACTTTTTCCCAACAGCTAATGGCTGAACTCAGTTCCATGAGCCTGTAGGGTGGTTGCCATAGGTGGGTGAAGCTTGGTCCTTCAGGTGTTGTCCAGCTCTACCTCCCATCAACCCTAGTTAGCACAGCCAAAGCTGGGGGATAATGGGAGCTGGAGTCTTAACAATAACTGGAGGTGGAAAGGTTCTTCATCCCTGCTATAGACCATTTTCCGTTTTATCACTGAAAGGGCTCTGACATCCCCAGGTGCGTTAGTGACTAATTGTTGGCCAAAGAGCTGCTGGAGAAGATTTGCAAATGTTCTTGGAGGATAACTTCAATGTTTCTCAATTTCAATGCAATTACATTCCTGCAAAAAGTGTGACAGTGTGTGTAAGACCAAGAGATGGCAAATAGTTGTCTGCCTGCACAGGCCCAAGCTTTGTCCCACACCAGTTCTCTACCTAAGAATGAGTTGCTCCTTGAAAAATGGCCCCTGAAAAAATGTTCACATATACCCTGAACAAACTGCTCCTTGTTCTGGATGATGGAACCAGGGCATTGGATTTGCAGGGAAACCTGTCTTCTGTTTCAAGGCCGGTAACAACCACAGAGCCAAAAGGCAAACACCTGTGCCTTGCTGGCAATGAAGGCAACAGGATCTATGCCAGGACCATGTGTGCGAGTAAAAGTGTGAGCATTCTCTTGGGACCTTCCTTTTGAGTTTTCTTTCCTTGTGACATGAGATTGTAGCTGTGATGTGAGTGTGCAGGTGCTTTCAGAGGCATTCCAACATGCCCATTCCCTCTGCCCCTTCACCCTTTGTAGCAGCCTAAACCCGATGTGGCATGCTCCCCTGATAGCCCCCTCACAAGGAGGTAGTGGTAGTCCCAGGTTTTCTTACCATGGTGCCAATGCTGTAGGTGGCAGCAGGGCCGATGGTGTGGTGGTAAGGATCTGCAGCTGCATAAACTCTGCCGTAACTAGGAGCGAACACAGGGGGCAGCGTTAGAAACTGGGGGATCGCAGAGTTGCCAACCCTAAATGTTCAAAAAATCATGAATCAGGCCCCAGGCATCATATATTTTAAAGGCATGATATGCACAACAGAAACTGCAGAAATTATTTTCTGAGCATCCCACATTCACCCCGCTCCCCTGCAACCCTGTTCTTCCCTGAGATCAATATTCAGACTTCCTTAAAATGGTCAGAGCTATCAATCTTGAACACGCTAGGGCTAGAATCCTGTTGGTGACCACTTCATCACACTAGAGAAAAAATCCACTTAAAATCCGATTTCTGCCTCCTGCAGAATTCCGGGGTTTGTAGTTTAATGAGGCTGTTAAAGGCTCCTCCCTAAACTACAAAGCCCAGAATTCTGCAGGAGGCAGAAACAGGACTTTTAGTGGATTTTTTCTCTAGTGTGATGAAGTGACAAGTCACCAACAGGATTCTAGTTGTATCAGCATAAAGATCATGTTCTGGGCAGTCAGAATGTGTCAAGAAGCATTTGGCCCAAGGGAGTGAGCTGTGCCGGGGAATTACCAACTGTTGTGGCAAAGCTGGGAGGCAAGGAGTGTTGGAAAAGGTGGTACTTGATGCCTCCTCCTGCAATGGCTTACACCCAATGTATGCAACATGGCAATTCTAACAATTGGACAGCCTTAAAATTAAGTCAAGTCATGGTCCTTCTCATTTGTTCCAAACTGGCAGCAGTTCTTCAAGATCTCAGGCCAGAACAGCATGTTACATAGTCAAGTTGTAGTCTTATGAACATTTGAAGAATTGGGTTGTTGTAGGTTTTTCGGGCTGTATGGCCACAAGGATGGCAGGCAACCTCTGAGGATGTCTGCCATAGATGCAGGTGAAATGTCAGGAGAGAATGCTTCTAGAACATGGCTATACAGCCCGAAAAACCCATGACAACCCAGTGATTCCATCCATGAAAGCCTTCGACAATACATTTAAAGAATCCCCTGACAATATGAACTGCAGAATAAGTAGAAGAGCCTGCCTCAAAGATAGTGGATTCTCCATTGTTAGAATATTTTGAGATTGAAGGGAAACTATCAAGGATGCCTTACTTGGATTCTTGGAGTAGAATGAGATAGAAGGGGCCTTTTGATCCCTTCTAACTCAATTATTTTATGCATTTCCAAATTTTGTACACTGCATCCACTGAGAAATGGCATGGGAAGGGTTGGTTTGTGCTAGTGGATAATGCAAGACAAACTAATGGTGTAATGCCAGTGGGGTTGTCAAATAAGTGTCTGTCTTTTCCTTAGTGAGGACATAGAAGAGACACTGGACATTCAAGTATGGTGTGCCTTTTGTCCGTAACAAATATAACTGTTAGAGAAATCTGGCCAGCTCCTAGAGCAGTGGTTCTCAACTTATGGGTCCCCAGATGTTTTGGCTTTCAACTCCCAGAAATCCTAATAGCTGGTAAACTGGCTGGCATTTCTGGGAGTTGTAGGCCAAAACACCTGGGGACCCACAGGTTGAGAACCACTGTCCTAGAACCTCTGTATACTTGATGAGGTCTATGGAAGAGTTAAATCAGTTTTTAACTGAGTCAACAGGAGATGAAAAGATGGTGTCAAATTGCCCTTATGTACTCAAGGAAGAAAGAACAGCTTTCACCTCCAAACTAAGGTGCGAAGGGTAGTGTGGTAACAGCTGGACCATGGATGGAGACCAGGTCAAATAGAACTGGCATGAAGGAGCTGGAGCCTGATTAGCTTTGTGGCTGGATTTGGGCAATGGGGAGGGAAGGATCAATATTGGATCATGTGAACTGAGAGAAGGAAATTATAAGAGGATTTTGAGAGTGAAAGAATGAACAAAGAGCTGAATTGCAGACTCCAAGGCCAATACTTCCAGAGAAGAATGGAGTTATAACTTAATACTGATATTCAATAGCTGAAGTCTTAAGCAGTGAACTCTCAGGGGATTTTATAATAAGAATACTTAGTATTTATAGAGCGATTTCCCTAAATGTTCAAACTCCTTCACACACATTATCTCAGTAATCCTTCAGCAGCTTCATAACGTAGACTCATATTATTATCCCATATTGCAGATGGGAAGGCGGAAGTTGAAAGAACAAGGGTTCATCTGAGGTGATTCCAGTGAATTCATCACTGAGAGGGGATCTGAACCCTAGCTCACAGCTCATTCTCCCAGTCAGTGTCACTTACAGTACCTGTCTGGGCCTTTTAGACCAAACACCTAGGGTCCTTCCACACAGCCCTATATTCCAGGATTTCAAGGCAGAAAATCCCACAATATCTGCTTTGAACTGGGTTATCTATGTCCACACTCAGATAATGTGGGATTTCCTGCCTTGAAATTCTGCGATATAGGGCTGTATGGAAGGGCCCCTAAATGCTTCATTTGAGGGAAAGGGTGGGGTGGTGGTTCCATTTTATCACTGTGTTTCTAAGTGTGCTGATCAAACAATCATGTGAAATTCTAATTATATACTTTAAAAAAAGGGGGAATAAGGGAGTAAATGGGTTAAATGGGTTGTCAAGTGCAAATGTTTTCACCAGTTGCCTGGGAAAGAACTAATAGCCATTGTGGTAATGTTTAGGGTGATTTGAAATATAACAGAAATATGGGGTGGGGTTGTTGAGACAGATTTGCTCTCTGAAAGGGGCTGTCTAGCCAAATGTAACCCCATCGAACTTGGTCCCCTTTGCACAACATGGCTGGAGGTCATTATGAGATGTGTCCATGCAGAAGACAAACACCTAGTATGAGGGGGATTCAAATACACAGCCATGTTACTCTACAACAGGCCTGTACAAGCTGTGGTCCTCCAGCTATTTTGGACTTCAGCTTCCAGAATTCCTGACCACTGGACAATCTGGCTAAGGCAGTGGTTCTCAACCTGTGGGTCCCCAGGTGTTTTGGCCTACAACTCCCAGAAATCCCAGCCAGTTTACCAGCTGTTAGAAACTCTGGGAGTTGAAGGCCAAAACATCTGGGGACCCTCAGGTTGAGAACCACTGGGCTAAGGCTTCTGAGAGTGGAAATTACAAACACCTGGAGGGCTACTTATTGTGCAGGCCTGGTGGCACCTTAGAAATCAACTGAGAGAACAACATCAGTATTATATGCTTTCATAGACCAGATCTACTTTCTCAGATGCATGGAGTGAAGACATTTCATTATCTTGCTTAGGTGCTTCAAGATCATTTCGCTGTAATGTTGAATTCATGAACATGAACTCAACATTACATTCATGAAATGGACCTGGAATACATGAAGAGGGAGGGGATCTTGGCATGTACTCTGCCCAGATGGGGTATGAATTGTTCACAGTATCCTATTGCTGCTTCACAGTTTTGCAGGGATGGGAAACACTGCTTCCTGACTTGCTAATAGCAGTAATGTTCCACCTTCCTGACTACTTGGGGGTGACCTCTCTGGATTACCATAATACGGGAGTCTTTATCCCTGTCTCAGAAATCAAGCCAAAGCAATATGTATTGTTGAAGGCTTTCATGGCCAGAATCACTGGGCTGTTGTAGGTTTTTCGGGTTATATGGCCATGTTCGAAGCATTCTCTCTTGACGTTTCGCCTGCATCTATGGCAAGCATCCTCAGAGGTTGTGAGGAAAGCAATATGCTTAGAAAGTACAGGACTGCAGTACTATGAACTGATTATAAATACAAAAGCATAATTATAGAAAAAATTGATGAAATGAATATTAATGCTACTAAGCATTTAATTGTATGCAAAACATGAATAGATCAAGGTATTAACACCAGACATTCTACAAACTTTACAAGGAGAATCAATGTATTGCAAAACAGTGAAATTGCAAACCAAGTAAATCAAAAGGATAGTGTGTCTAGATTATATCCTGTTTTGATATATCAGATTTAGAGTATGTGCAATGATTATGGAACGGTTTGGACTATGATTATGGTTGGCATGATCTTAATATGGAATGCAATGTTTTTAAATGTTTAATATGTATTAATTTTAATTTTAATATTTTGTATGGAATTGTATGTGTTCATTGAATGATTGCCTCTATGTAAGCCGCCTTGAGTCCCCTTCGGGGTAGAGAAAGGTGGGGTAGTGTAAATAAATATCTCCCTCAGTAAACTTCCTGTTATACTGCTAATTGTGAGAAAAAACTTGCCAACTGCCATTGAACATTAAATTAAAGGGGTTCATATTTAATTGTCCTCTTCAAAAATATGAATCCATTCAAATGCCAAATGACTCTATCTTCCAAACAGTTGTAATCCCTTTTGTAAACATGTAAATAGATTCATGTTATAATGTTTGCAGCTATGCGCTTTCCTTGCTGTTTGGTTTGCTTCTGCCTGCTGTGTTTTTAATCTGAGTTTGGAGAAAAGTGAGGCCAGCCTGTAGGACTGGAAGTTAAAGTGAGACATGAAGAGCAAGATCATTCCTAACAAAAGGTAAATTTGCTTACCTGTCGCTGTAAGCTGCTGCTGTTGCTGCAGGCTGGGCATATCTGTAGGCGGCATAACCCCCCTGGAGCAGAAAGGAGAGGCCAAGCTTTAGGGTGAGGACTGTGACCTTCTGCCTGCTCACCTGACTAGATGATCGGGGGAAGACGGCTGCTCCTTGTGTCAAGAGTCTGGTTCTTTGAAAAGGAATGGAGCACACGAGGAGCTATGCAAGGCCAGGAGGGAGACCTATCCCCACCACCCACAAGGCAACTCCAACACCAGTCTCATTAGCATTCCCCGGGGGTCTCGCTAACATTAACCTGCAAAAAATTAAACATGCTGAGGAGAGAATGTCACCTCCCCAGCGGGTGGCAGTGTTAACGAGATGTCGCCTCTGATAAATCCGTCAGAGCCTGCCTGAAATATTGCCCAGAGCATTTTAAATATGGAGGGGAAATGCTGCTGTAATACAGCATGCTGACACTGGGCTAGGAAATAAATCCTGGCCTTTGTGGAAGCAGATGCAAGAAAGGAAGGCACCTGCACACATACACACGCACACACACTAACCCCCAAATCTGCCTCCTCTCTTCTGCTGTCTTTTTTCAAAGTGGGCTCTTCAGCTCGAGGGAGGGGGGGGGGGGTTGATTTCAAACATTTCTTTTTCTGTCTACTGTCCTTTCCATTTCTGGAGAATTTGTGGAAGGTTACTTTGGATTTTTTTTTTAAAGAATGCCACCCCTGGGAGATATACAGATGCCACTTTGTTTCTCCCCCCTTCCCGCCCCCGCACTTTGGGAGTAGACAGGAAATTATTAACCTGTCTTTCTCTGCAAAGTGTTCACTTGCTCACTTCATGTAACCAAATGAGCAGGTAGAAGTTGGAACAGATAAGAAACACTCCTCACAAGGGCACAAAGCTGTTAGGTAATCTAAAAAGGTAATCTTTCCAAGCACAGCTGGAGAGAGTGGTGCAAGAGACACGTGCAGAGTTGATGTGGCTTAAGCTTAAAGGAGCTGAAAGAGATGGACTTACATAAATTTCAGCACCGTAGAATCCATCCTGGTAAACCACTCTGCAAGAAAATAAAGGAAAAAACAATAAAAATGACTTCTCACATTGAATGGACACAAAACACTTTGAATCCCATTCAGTGTAAGTGCATATTTCTTTCAAAGGGATAGCCCCAGCCCTGGCACCTAGTGTAGCGGGTGTTTTCAGGGCTGCTAATTGCCTTTCTCTGCCTTGACAGCGGGAGGGATGCAAATGTGCTAGTCGTCAAGTGTGATGGGATGATCTGCCTGACAGGTCAACAGCAGGGCTGTAGTGGGGGGGGGGATGTTAAGGGTCCACCCCCCCCCCCCCCAGATATGTCAGGTTTTGAAAAAAACAACTGGTTTACTCATGAACGTTAACTGGTTAACCAATTCCTGAGCAAACCAGGTTTTTTTTAACCTGACACATTTGAACCCTTAACCTCCCCCCCCCCCCATGGCTCTGGTTAACAGGATGACCAAAGGAGGAGCAGGTGCTTAGGTGCTTTTTGGGGAATTTGCACATAGCCACTTTTAGATTGGTTTGAACATTTGCGCGCTTGGATATTGACATGGCAGTGACTGCTCTGCATTAATTTTCATCTTGAGGAAAAACAGAAGAGGAGAGAGTTTCTAACCCCCATGGCTCAAGGCTACAGAAAATGCCCATAAGGAAAGTGACTACCCCAGCTCTCGTTCTCCTCCCACATGGCCTCTTGTCATGTTTTTGTGTTCATCTGTCTTGGCTGATCCTCATGTGAATGTAGCTGCCAAAAGCAAAACAAAAACAACCACTCTACGCTTCACAGAATGTGAACCAGTTTCAGAAGAGAGTGCAAAAACATATATCTGCATAAATTTAATGGGCCATGTTGGTTATGCAATTTGAGGATTTTCTGATGAAAAGGAAGCACAACTATGGAAGGTGCTTTCCTAGCTGGGAGACAGATGTGAAGGGCAAAACTGCACAGCAACACCACTGCACTCCTTCAGCTGTCTAGCAGCATACTCACTTAAACTCTTCCCTCCAAGCCACATTTTTATGGCAAACTATAATATTTCTCTATATGAAATAAATATATCACTGTAGATAACGTATGCAGCAGGCCTTACCAACAGGGTCAAACCTAGGGCAAACTATCACATAGTGTAAGGCAGTGTTTCTCAACCTGGAGATCAGGACCCGGGTGGGGGGGGGGGTTGCGAGGGGGTGTCAGAGAGGTCATCAAAGACCACCAGAAAAAACAGTTTTTTCTGTTGATCATGGGGGTTCTATGTGGGAAGTTTGGCCCAATTCTGTTGTTGGTGGGGTTCAGAATGCTCTTTGATTGTAGGTGAACTATAAATCCCAGCAACTACACCTCCCAAATGTCAGGTCTATTTTCCCCAAACTCCACCGGTGTTCACATTTGGGCATATTGAGTATTCATGCCAAGTTTAGTCCAGATCCATCATTGTTTGAGTCCACAGTGCTCTCTGGATATAGGTAAACTACAACTCCAAAATTCAAGATCAGTGCCCACCAAACCTTTCTAGTATTTTCTGTCAGTCATGGAGTTCTGTGTGCCAAATTTAGGTTCAATTCCATCATTGCTGGAGTTCAGAATGTTCTTTGATTGTAAGTGAGATATAAATCCCAGCAACAACAACTCCCAAATGACAAAATCAACCCTCCCCCACAACCCCACCAGTATTCAAATTTGGGCATATTGGGTATTTGTGTCAAATTTGGTCCAGTGAATGAAAATACATCCTGCATATCGGATATTTACATTATGATTCATAACAGTAGCAAAATAACAGTTATGAAGTGGCAACGTAAATAATTTTATGGTTGGAGGTCACCACAACACGGGAGCTGCATTAAGGGGTCACGGCATTAGGAAGGTTGAGAACCACTGATGTAATTGTTTCTGGGTGTGCCACTTCATTCCTTGACAGAGTGTCACTATCTTAACTACAAAAGCACACTCCATACACAGCTTTGTGCAGGAGGAACCAGGTGATTGGGGTTTGTGGTCAAGGCCAGACCATTTGTGGCTCTCTAGATGCTCGGGAGCATAGTCAATGGTGAAGTGTGATACCAGAGAATTGTTCTATGTAAACACAGCACACAATCCAGTACTTAGCAAGCTGGGCTAACCATCCCTTTGGGTCAGCTCAGGTTTGATGCCGGGATCCAGAGGAAAGAAGGGTGAAGGCTCTGCCTTTAGGATACCCACCCAAATGGGAAAGCTCTTCTTGTCCCCACCCCCAAAGGAAAAGGCCTTGATTCTGCCGAATACTCACGCTCCATAAGTGGGGATGGGTGGAGGTGGGGGAGCTGCCCGGAACGTGTTGTAGACTGTGCGCCCCCGCCCCCGCAAGTGTGCCCCCCGATATGCTACTGCTGTTCCTGTGGCTGGATATGGGAAACCTGTCACTGAGAGAGAGAGAGAGAGAGAATTTAATGAGTAAGAGACTGCAATCATCCCACATGCTAAATCTTACTTCCCAATCTTACTTCCCAATCCATCTTTCTACAACAAATTGTTGTAAAAAATAATTAAACTATTAAACACAGTAATTTAAAAGCATCTGATACAATGAAGTAAAAAATGACACCCCTTCCATAGCAGCCAACTTTCAGCAGGGAAGGCAAAACTATCTTGCTTGGATTGCAGATCCTAAAAGTTGTCAGCAGTCATGGCTGGTTAGAATATTAGGTGAGAGATCCTAGGGATTCTGACCCTCCAAAAAAGTAAGTTACCCAAGCTCTGCTATGGATGGATAAAGCCCACGCCTATGTTAGATTGCTGTTTGGAAGGTTGTAGCCAAGAACCAGGATGTTTTCAACCTCTACCCTTCCCTTCCTTTCCCTCTTGCAGCTGCCGCCACACCCCAGATCCCATTAACTCCCATTCCAACCATGCTGGATATGAGTAATGCAGCAAGGTGTCTCATTGATTACTACACCTCCATCCTGGAAAAAGCCCTCAAGAACAATTCTGTTAGCCTGGTGATGCCAAAAGCATCATTATCATGAGAAGATCATGGGGTAAAGTGTTAAATTTGTGGAGGAGATTATGAGAAGAGGAGGAAAACCAATCTTTGAGACATTAACATTTTGCCAGATCCATAATAGACAATTCTTGTCCAAGGAGCTAGTCTCATCCATGCATTACCTGCATAGAACTCTGGGCCATAGACAGTCCCCACCACAGGGTTCAGCTTCCATCCTGGAAAGAAAAAACAAAGAAACATGAAATCCTCACCTTTTTGCTGCCTGAGGATCTGAGGAAAGGAGATACAAGAGGCCTTTGTCCTCAAAGGGAAGAGAGCAACAGGCCTACTGAATATGGGAGTCTGGGGAACACTGAGTCCATTTCTTAAGCAAGATCAGAAGTACTTTTTGTCACCTAGGTCTCCTTGAGTGGCACCACAAAGCCCACAGAGATTATTTTTCCATTTCTTGAGATTTCCCAGCAACCAGAACATTTTCAGCCCCGTTCCCCACCTTCAGATATGGTTGCACAAGACAGAAAAAGTCTATCTAGGAGACCCAGCCTACTCTTGGAAATAGGCTAGCAGTAGCCTATCACATAAATCACATACTCTTGGAAATGACTAGCAGTAGCCTATCACATAAATGTCCTCCTGCCATTATCCCAAGTCCATTACCATTTGTGTAGGGATTGGCTGCCTTTTTGTTTGTCATCACTCGTGCTGTGGCATTGTTGACCTAGGAAGAGAAAAAGCCAATTATTTCTTTGTAGTCCTTGGGCTCAAATAGTATCCCTCTTTCTTGGGAGGGTATATCTGGGATTGGAAATTCAAGGAAAGTTTCAGGCTTCACAAATACCATGCAAAGGATTTTCATAGCCATGCCTACAATGCCATGTTGGCCAACACCCAAAGCCCTGGCTGCTGATCTCTTTCCCATCCAATAAAATCTTGATTCCTGGCCCATAAATCTTCCTATTGTACTGCACAAGCTGAAATCTATAGTTTCCAGTTTGGGGCATTTTGTAAAGAAACATTCCTGAACTTCACAATTCCCAGCGTCATCATGTTCACAGCTAACATGCAGGGCTCTGCCCAGGGTTCATGCACAATTCAAGTACTGGACAGGGATGTGATGCCACATGAGAGAACACCTCAGAAACTGAACACAGAGAAAAAGGGCAGGAAGCCCAGCAGAAAAGGGTGTCTGGGTCAAAATCACCATGTTAATTGTTGCACCTACCACTCTGACAACACAGTGCTATGCAATTCTGGAAGCACTATATGTGGCACAGTGCACTGGATTAACAAGAAGACTCCAACAGCTCTCTCAGGACTGAACCAAGACATTGTTTGTTTGCAGATCTTCAGTACTGTGCAATAAAATTGCTCATCGTTTTAAATGAAAATAACCAAGAGCTAAACAATTTCCAGGGCAGCGGGTGGGGATAGCCCTGTTGGTCTACTGCAGAAAAACATCAGAGTCTTAAAGACTAAAAAGTTGTATTTGGAATATTGGGCATTCACGCTTCTGAATTGCAAACACATTGTTTTTATCAAGTGGCAATTTGACTGGTGAAGCACTCCTGTGGGTTTGTATTTTTCAAACACACGATGTCTCAATGTAGTTTCCCCAAACTGGGAAGCCTGGAAGATTCAGCTATATCTCACAGAAGTCCATGAGTGGCTTGTGAACTGAATAAAAGGAGGCACTTCCTTCCAGCATTTTGAGGTAATGTGTTCGCCTCTTTTCCCTACTCAGTTCACACACCAGCATAGCTTATGCTTTTTTCCTTTTAGGTCTCTTGGTTGGCTCCTGGCTCCTGTGAGCAGACCTGCTGGAGACATTGTGTCTTCCTTCCCTTCTCCTCTGCATCCTTCCCTTGCCTGGCTTCTCCATCATTTAGAAACCATCAACACAGGGCATGCAACATCTACTCGGCCGCCTGCTTTTTCTGTGAGGCCCAAAGGGCAAATGTGTGTTTATGTGTGCTTTTTAAAATAATGGTGGTGCTGGGGTAGCAAATATGGTTCCTCATGCCCGACGCAGAGCAGGCAGTGCACCTTTTCGCACCTCAATCTTGCGTCCCTCTACGATGGTGCCGTTCAGCTTCTCCCTTGCCCGATCGGCATCTGCACTAGTTTCAAAAGTTACAAACCCAAAACCCTGTGAGTGGGGGAGAGAAAGGAACAAGGAGAAAGAGAGTGGGGGGAGGGAGGAGGAAGAGAAAAGGATGAAGAGAGAAAAGGGGGATGGGTAGGAAAGGACAGGACAGAGAGAAGGGGTGAGTAAAGGAGCAGCAGAGACAGAGCCCTTCAGGGCCTGGGAGGAGAGGTAGGACATGGACTCTCCAGGCCACCCCAAGTGCTGGGGGAGAGGGAGCAAAGTAAGGAGAAAGGAAGGGTCAGGCTTGAAAAAGATAGGACACAGAGAGTGGCTTCCCAAGAATCAAAGGTTGTAAGATGAGACATGGCAGATTTACACTACAGCTTTTTTGATGGGAATGACCCCCTCCTCCCAGAGGGGCCATGGATACAAATACGTTGTTCTGAGCTGATTGACTAGTGTATACCATTGGTTTCAGCCAGCCAGTCAGGGGGAGTCTTTGATCTTTGAGGAGGACTGGGGGACAAAATTAGATGGTGGTGTGTACTGGACTTCCCAATATCACTTTCAAATCTTCAGGTAGCAAAGGAGAGAGCAGGGAATTTGACTGAAGATGCAATACAAGTGGGAGATGTCTATCTCTTCCTTTCACATACTATTTCTACACATGATTCAGTTGCTATTAGTCCTTTTGGATTTATACAGACAAAAATCCTACATTGCATTTATATTTCCCCCTCTAATTCCAGGAAAACTGAAAGGAAACAATTACTCATTTTGGAAAACCTGTGAGGGGGGGGGGGGAGGGAAAACCCCAATTCTTTCATGTTAGGCTTTTGATCCAATTTCATACCTTCCTTTATTTAAGCTTTGTATCATACACCCTGATGGCTTATAGCTACTACCACGGTGTAGTCTGGCTCCAGGAACAAATACTGGGGCTGACTGCAAGAACTAGAGAACTCAGAAGAGCTGTTCTTGAAGGTATGTCAAGCTCCTTTAAACACTGGGTTGTTGTGTGTTTTCTGGGCTGTATGGCCATGTTCCAGAAGCATTCTCTTCTGTTTCACCTGCATCTATGGCAGCATCCTCAGAGGTTGTGAGGTCTGTTGGAGATTAGGAAAATGCGGGGAATATATAAAACCCATTTTTCTAGTTTCCAACAGACTTCACAACCTTTGTGGATGTCTGCCATACATGCAAGCAAAACGTCAGGAGAGAATGCTTCTGGAACATGGCCATACAACCCAGAAAACACACAGCAACCCAGTGATTCCAGGTATGAAAGCCTCAAACAATCCTTTAAACACAGCTGTGCCTTCTTGGAAACAAAATACTATTTTAATAAAGCATGCTGGTATCTTATTTTTGAGATAGACACACACACACACACACAACTCTTATGCAACTCCCATTTTCACCAAATCTTGTACTAAGAAGCATTAAGTAAGCTTTTTCCTCCTTTCCCCCTTTGTTGGAGTGATTTCCATTTTCACCATGAGAGGGTGTTATTTTCCTGCATTAAACTACCTTAGCTGTGGAACGGGTTGCTCTTGGTTTTTTTTTATTCTCTTAAATGTTTTAGTTCACTGCAAATATAGGACCCCCCTTAGTTAAGTGCTTGCATTCAACACATTTGCTTTCAAGGTGGAAAGTTAAATTGCCAAATTAAGCTCTCTGTCCATGACTGCAGGGTTTTGTGGCTGGGGGTTGGTTGGTTTGGATGCAGGTGGAAAGCTATTAGAAGCTGGAAGGCAACTTGAGGCACAGGAAGGAAAAGACAGAGAGACCTGGGAGGAGCAGGAGTGCGAACTGTGGCCTGGCCTCCTGGCAAATCACACCTACACTGACATGGTGGCAGTACCAGACACTAAGAGGCTGAACCTACCTTAGAACCGCGCTCATTGAAGATAATTTCAACGTCCAGGATCTTTCCAAATTGCTGCAGAAGAAAAAACAAAAACAGGGGAAAGCAAGCAGAGAAAGTGAAAAAAGGAAATGCTTGCCTCTTCCTCCTCCCTCCCCCTCCTTTTGTCAGCTCAGATTAGTAATACAAACACCCCCAGAATTCTGATTCAACAGGAGGGATCAACACAGTGGCATTTTTGTGGAGAAAGAGCACAAAGGCCGCAGAAGGTGGAGGTGTCTCTGGAGGCAAGCTTGACAACAGCATTCAATCCCAGGAGCATTAATTCTGTCTTCTGTCACTATCTGGGTCCTGATTCCTTTCAGGGAGGCCCAGTGCACATGTGTGTGTATGTGTACATGTGTGTGTGTGCAAGCAGAGGGGAGGTTATCAACTCACCCCAAACATTTGCCGCAGGTCAGGGTCCCGGAAGCGGAAGGGGATGTTGGAGACGTGCAATCGCTTTGGCTGCTGCTTGTCAGAACCACTCTCTGCTGGGTGTAGCGTCTGGTTGTCTGTCTGTGCCGCTTCATCTGTCTGCTGATGGGGTGGGGGAGGAGGAAGTAAAGGGTAACCACACTGTGACTCCAGCCCCATGGCAAGCTGCTTGCACATTTGCAGAGTTATCACTGCCCCTGGCAAAAGGGCAGATGGTGGGGGCACTGTGAACCACTGCAAGTGTACCAAAGCATGGCTGTATGTGTAAGGCTTTTGCTTGGAGCTAAGATGTCTTGTCACCATGAACCTTGTAGTGTGGGGTTCTGGTGACCTTTGTTTGCCTCCTTCTCTCAACCTCCCTCCTGGAAGGTTGACCACTTGGAGAGACTTCCCACTCTCCTCATTCAACTACTCATTCATTCCAGCTCATGTTCCCTATTGCCCTTTCCTTGCATTCATTTTCTTTGGCCTCCCATTATCTGCATGAATTTAGGCAAAGAACTGCATGTAAGTCTTTGGGCTACATTTACCCATCCCCCCTTTTTCCCCATTCAGGTCAGGAGCAACTTAACAAACTGCAAGTTGCTTCTGGTGTGAGAGAATTGGCCATCTGCAAACACATTACCCAGGAGATGCCCAGATGTGTTACCATTCTGTGGGAGGCTTATCTCATGTCCCCACATGAGAAGCTGGAGCTGATAGATGGGAACTCAGCCTGCTCCCAGGATTCAAACCGCCAACCTTTTGGTCAGCAGTCCTGCCGGCACAAGGGTTTAACCCACTGCACCACCAGGGGCTCCCCTCCTTTAGGACAGCAATTTATACATAGAGATGAACGTACTGCTATGCAGTTGCCAACTCTCACTGGCATACAGAGAGTACAGACCAATGCGGACTGGGATTTTGACTCAGGCTGTCCCCTGTTTTCATCTCACCTAGTCCATTAATAAACTGTCTGGTCTTAGGAAAGCCATTCTAGCCTAAATCTGTCTAGCTACAAAATGAGGGAATTAAAAGTGAGGATTCCTAGGATTGCTGGGCATGGGTGTTTGAGAGAGGGGGAGAAAACCTGGGGCAGACACTTTCACAGGTAGTGGGGGCTAGTCTGAGCCCAGGCATGCCTGTGGGCCTGTGTGGTACAGCCATGTGGGGAGACAGGGCTCTCTCTCCCAGCCGTGGGGTGGCAAGGAGCCAGCCTGGCACTCAGGGACGAAAGAACGGCTGGAAACTGCTCACTCAGCACTTCATCGCGGAGCTGCATTACAACCACATCATTGGCACGATGGGATTGGCAGGCGGCCAAGCAGGTAGATTACAAGTGATTAGGGACATGAAGAGAGCCAGGAAACTTAAGCATTGAGCCACAAATACCCATGGGGGCCAGCAGGGGGTTGGAAATGCCTTGGTGTGCTTGCCTCCTGCCGCAGACTTTGAGCCTCTGGTCAAACGTGCAACAAGGTAAAGCAAACTAGGAGGAAGTGGGTTGATCCTCTGCAAACCTTGCGCATCTCCCTCATTTTGCCACCCAAAATATATTTATGGGCGTCTCATGCAATTTTGTACATGCACCCCTATACCTGCAACTTCTATTCTGCATTCTTGTAAACAACTTCCCCCTTACTTTCCTTGCAAAGATTGGGAAAATCACTCTTTTCAACTACAACTCCCACAATTCCCTAACAGGACAACTAAAATGGGAATTGCAGCCTGAAACTGCCCCCCCCCCACCCCAGCCCTGCCTAATTGTCTGCTTTAACCAGCCCTCATCCTACAACACCCACCTTGCCCCCTAAACTGACACATTCCCTTTACATTCAGACAGTTTCTGTATTGACTCCCCTCCCGTACCGGTACTGTCTGTGTGCCTGCTATGGACTGCGTGCTGGCATCGGTGCCGGGCTGTTCAGGGTGGCTCTGTGCTGGCGTGTAGAGAGTCAAGGCGTGCTCAGGTACTGTGCTCTGCCCTGAGTAGTCCTGTGCCGGGTGTGGATGTGGCGGAGGAGCATACTCTGCAGGGATGCCATTCTGGGGAGGCGGTGGGTATGTGGCCGGGGGATAGGGCTGGGCCATCGCGTCAGGAGGAGCCGTGGCGTCCTGGTTGCCCTGCAGAGACACAATAGGAGAAATGCGCTTAACCTTGATAATCCATATAAGTCAACACGATAGGCCATGAATGTGACCATCTCTAGATGAATTACCAACACAGGAACCTACTCAATGTCATTCAGATAATTACAATCGCAAAACTTGAGAAAGTCCTTTTTGCTTGACTTAGACCAAAATCGGAATAATCCATGCTATCATATTGTACAGTAAAGAAAGCTGTCAGAAAGAAAATAAATGTGTGCAATAGGACAGGTCTACAAATACCATAGACTGTTAAAATACCTATAAATGGGTCTTAGAGCAAATTAAGCCTGAATTATCTCTAGAAACCAAGATGACTAAACGGAAACCATTGTACTTGGAACATATCAACAGAAGATGTGACTCACTGGAAAATTGATAATAGTTGGTAAAGTGGAAGGCAATAGGAAAAACAGGCAAATTACATTATGGGTGTATTGATTCAATCAAGGAAGGCAGGGTTCAGTGTTTGCAAGACCTGAGCAGGTCAGTTGATGACCAGGACTCTTGGAGGTTTCTCATTCATAAGGTGGCCATAAGTCAAATATCAACTTAAGTTCCAGAATCCCCCAGCCAGCCTGACCACTGTCTGGCTGAGGAAATAACTTTTACAAGCTCTAGTAATCATCTCTTTGCAGCAAACTGTAACTGAAGATGTGTCTCATTTACCACAGACAGTGAAGAGTTTACCCAATCAATGCAAATTCTGCATTGTTTCTACCTGTGGATCAAAATTGGGGTGGATGTAAAAGCACAATCTTGGGAGGTGTACATGTATCTACTCTGGGTTTTGGTAAATTTGATTTAAATCGTTTGACAACTGCTGGGAGAATTAAAGTGACAAAACAACATGGCAAGTCTAGGCAAGCAGATTGCTTAGTTGGGAACAAAAGGATTACATGTTGTGAGGGACAATCAAATCCTAGATTGAATTGTATTAGTTAGTCCCAAATAGACCCATTGAATCATTTGCAAATAATGAGCCAACACAACGGTGAATCCCATGTTAAGACAAGCAACAGGATTTAGGCTGTTACTTCTTCACCTTGAAAGGCCTCCCAAGTAATTGTGAAGTTTTTTGTTTCTACATCTTTATTTCTAAGTTCAGACTACAAGCCTAGTCTGTTAAAAAAAGGAGGCTGGTGTTCTTAAGAAGCCAAATTCCGTACCCAATGCCTGCCTCTTTGCTGCAATGCAAGGCACATAGGTAGCTGTGGGCCAGAAGGTCTTCCTTGGGAAGTAGGCTGGGAATAATTTTGCCTAGGTGTTTCCTGCAGGTTCAATCTTCTGCCACCAAGGAAGGCAAAACAAACAAATATTTCATGCATTTCACAGATACCTTATGGCATTTCTAAAAAGGGCATCCACTGTGAAATATACAATTCAATTTAATATAAACTTTAAAATAAGACCACACTTCAATTTTTCAAAGAATTTAAGAATGAATCAGTTTAAACAAGTCAAATCCAAAAACGAAACCACCAAAAGCAGACTATATTCCAAAGAAGGGGCATATTGTGATGGAGAAAGGAATAGGGCTGTTTGTAGTAGCAGGACATTTTTATTCCATTTGATGATGGATCAAGTAAGTTGGGCAGGGGAAGGCAGAAGGATCATTTCAACAACACTGGCTCGCCTATGCCAGAGCAGGCAACTGAGGGAGAGTTGGGGGCTGTATTCAGGCATCTAGGACTACTCAGGGGAGGCCCCCCCCTTTAAAACATGATTAAAAATAAATCTATACATGCAAAGAGCAATTAATTTTAAGGAGGGACTAGGGAATGAAAAGAGGAAATAGGAGCAGGGCAAGATTTTAGGCTGGGACTGGAATAAGGGGTGAGGGAGGTGGGTTGAGATATTTAGAAGCGGGGAGGCAGACATTAAGCAAGGACTGGATGAGGGTGATTGAAGGAAAAGAAGAAGGAGGAGGAGGAGGAGGAACAGGAACTTTATTTTTCTACCCTGCCTCCATTTCCCCGAAGGGACTTGGGGCGGCTTACATGGGGCCAAGCCCAAGGCAACATACAATTAAAAACAGAAGAATAAAATATTAAAACAACATAAGAACAGCATCATCATAAACAATAATAAACAAAACATCATAAGCAGCAACCGAGATACCTCTAGTCTCATTTTTGGGGTAGATGGAACAGGTAGATGGAACAGTGTGGAAACAAGTTAGAGGATAGGCTGGTCAAAAAGGTGGATAGAACGTATAGTAGCATAGGAACAGAGCAATTATAAAAGGTGGGAATTTTGACAAGCAAGGGATGAATTTTTAATCCAGGTCTAGAGTGACTGAGGTGAATGGAAGGAGTGGGTGGGAGTATTTGTATAACATTAGTTTGCTCCAGGAAGCCAGGACTCATGCATGCCAAGGCCTAGGGAGCATCATTGGCTGTTCAAAGCATCAAAGGTCTGCCCACTTTGCAGAACAGGGCAGACTGGAGGGTCCAGAAACTTGGGAAGCCACACTTTTCTTCTGGTGTGCCATATGTAGTTGTGGGCCGCATTTTGCCCAACTGTGCCAAAATGAACTCTCTTGACCAAAATGCCACCTTTTTCTGGAATGCCAGGTTTGCTAGGCTGCAAGGTTATAACTAAAGCAATCTTTACCTTGAAATGTGGATGGCAGCCATGCACACCTGACCCTTGGATCATGATATCATTTCACTCAGTATGTTTCCTGGCAGCCAGTACAAATACACGGAAATGTGTACATTGCAACTACTATCAGGAGAGGGAGTGTGTGTGTGTGTGTGGGGGGGGGGGGCAGAATGCAAAATGAAGGCACTGTCCCTGCAAACCAAATTTTACCCCCTCACCTTTTCCCCAAATTCCTAGCATGTTAAGTTGAGCATTTAGAAATAGTTTAAGTATATAAAGAAAAGGGGCTGGCAAAGTAACTATGAGCACACAAACACAGCAAATAGAAGGATTCTAATCATGAACACTTCAAAATTTCATTCTCTGTAGTGCTAGAAATTTGGAAATTGAGCAATGCTCTTGCTCTGCCCCTCTTGCCACACACCTAACCATTTTCCTTCTTTTGGTTCCCAGCAGGGACCAAATCTAATTACATTACCTTGAAATGAAATAAAAACCCCATAAACCCAATTTCTTTAAAACCACCAGATTCATTGTGTTGCCATCAATATTTTAAAGAGAATGTCTTGATTTGAGATGGAAGGGGATAGGGTTTGTCATGGTTTAGGGTGCTTCCCAATGATTATTTTGTTTAGGTTACCAGTCTGCCTCAGTCATAGAAGGTCCGTAGTCTTTCACTTGTAACCCTCACACCTTTCCTCCACCATTTCACTCTTCTGTTTGTTTGTTTTTTTGAAAAAAAAACAGTCAATGAAACTTCATTCAGGAATAGTTATACTACAGAAATGCACAATGCACCAGGAGTCCTCCTTATGGAAAACAATTCCAATAGGAAGGACAGAACAACTTTACAGTTTACTTGTTGGGGTCCACTTGCCACATACTGACTGCAATCTTCTATCATATCAGTATTATGCAATCCCTTACAGAACAAGAGTATTGTATAACACATCCTCAGGAATGTTCATGCTTGGATAATCCTTGCACAATGCACAACAATAGGGCATAGATGCATATGGATGTATCCTTTTGTGCATCTGTTGTTCATTCACAACTGTGCAATGTACCCATTTGTGCATCAACACGCACAATTTGGCTTCTGCTGCCAATGCAGGGTCATTGCATAATTTCAAAATAAAATCTCCACATATGCAAAGCTTGTCTCCATAACACAGTGGTTCTCAACCTTTGTTTTGACTAGGGACCACTTGACGAGGGAGTACTTAGACCAGGGACCACTCTCTAACATTACTACCAAAAGGGTGATTACTCAGTTTTTGGTCAACTTTCGATTTGGTTGGGGTGCTGATTCAGAAAATTGCATTGGATAGACCACATCAGGTCTAGTTTCTGATATAGAACATATGACATAGTCTATGACAGGGAAGGAGTGAAGGTGGCGTGGAAGGCACAGAAATGAATTAAATTAAATTAAATAAACAAAGAGGAAGGAGGCTGGCGAACCAGATTTTTGTCCTCATGGCCCACTGGGGGTCTGAGGCCCACAGGTTAAGAACCATTGCCATAACTGAATGCTGGCTGTTGTGTCAAACAGAACTAATGTTGTTGGAACTAAAGTTATTGGAATGAAGAGGAGGGAAGGTACTGTTGAGACTGCTACCATATTAGTGTTGTTTAGTGTTGCTTCTGCACTACGCTACTCAAATTTGTCAGAAATTGTACTAAAACTAAAAGTTTCACACAGTGCTGAACAAAGAAGCAGATTCACTAACACAGTCTTTATCAAGTAGATGATGTTTACTCTGAACTAAGTTCTCTCACCAAAATTCCTTTCCAGAAGCAATGAAAAAATAATCCTATTTGCAGGTTGTACAAAGGTGAAAAATGAGGCAAGCAAAGGTGATCAAGGGGCTGAAGCAACTTTCTGTGAGGAAACGCAGATTACAATATGACCTCCGGATCCATCCATGATTTCATTTATCTCTTCGGAATGACTCAATTGTATTCTTGAGGCAGGAGTACTTTATTTCAAGAGGGTCCAGTATTAACCATGGCTTCCATGCAAAATTCAGGAATATATTCTCCTGGATACAGTAGTCATACTGTTCAATGAATAGTGTGAAGGGCGCTATACCACCAAAAACCACTGGGCTGGTAATATGAGCAGGTGGGTGCCCATTCTGTTCACATCCTGCTTATAGACTTCTCATTGGAGCAAATTGATTGGTTGCTTTATTAAAATCTTTGTTAAGTGCAGATGATGGAAGAGTTGATCGTTAATGCTGCAAACTTTGTCCAGTTTGCCAATTTGACATGGATTTCAAGAGACAAACAAATAGAAGAATTTCTGGAATACCAGGACTTTTCCAGCAATAAGGAACCTAATAATGCAATATTCTTTGGTTATT